TTATTTCCACCATCCTAACTTCACCTGGCCTAGGGATTCCTAACCTTAGGGCCACAGATCCCCTTGCATGATTCATGAATAGACTTTAAAGAGTCTGCGCATTTAGAAAGGAGAAAAATTGCAATTTTAATTTCCTAGTCTGAAATTTAGCATTTCCATCAATTATGCACGTAGGCAAAAACTTCAAAAGATTAGCAGTACCTGTGACTGTCAAAAATATATTTTCATTATCATATTATAGTTGTCACAGATTTCTCAAAATATCATCTACACTCATCACTTTTACAAAATGATGGTAGTTATCAAACCCGCTGCTTTGATCTCATTAACAAATTATTTAAACATCATTTGAAAACTGTATTTCAATGTAATTAGTTTTCTTTGTAATCATATTTTATTTTGTTTTTTAAAAACGTTAATCCGAGAAGGGGTCCAGAGGCTCCCCTAGACATCAAAGGGTCTTTGGCACCGAAAGGTTAAGCCTTAACCGTTAAGGCTTCCTGTTAACCCATCACATAGCCTGCACCTTCTTCCCAACTGGGGTGTTTATACGCCGCTGCCCTTGTTTGGATCAGCCAATTAGTCCCAAACGCTCCTTCAGGGAAAGCAGCTGTGCGCCTCCGCATGCTTTTCTGTTGACCCGAGCACTACTGGTCCCTTTACTTTTCACCTGGTCACTGAAACACCGCCTATTGTTTTAATTATTCATTTACTTACTCGCTCGCCCTCAACAAACATGACTGAGCACAAGGCACTAAGCTACATACTTGGGGGTGCAGTGCTGGTACCTCCTAGGAAGGTACAGCGTGGGGAGCAGACCAAAGAGGAGAGAGACTGACTTATACGTAACAGTTACAAGACAGTGTGGAAGCTGCTTTCTTAGGGTATAAACACCTGTGACTTAGGAGCTGCCAGAGGAAGGCTTCTTGAAGCAAGGGCCGCTGAGAATAAAGAGAATGCCCTTAAGGGCTGAGTTTGCCAAGACTGGGCAAGGGACATTCACGGAGCCGTTATGGAGTGAAAGAGATTTCTTCCCCATCATGGTATGTAGATTTAATTCCCGTACTTGATTACAGCTGGGAACAAAATTGAGGAAGAGATGGACTATTTAGCATTGTATAGAGAAACAGTGCTCATAATCACTACGGGGGAAAACATGAGGCAGATATTGATTTGAAAAGCATCTGGTAGGGAGAATTGTCTGTTTTTCAGAGATGAGTCTGTGACACCTGCTGGCCAAACCATATAACGCCCCGCTCGGAGGAGTGCTGAGCAGTAAAGCTAAATATTACCTCTTCTTCTCTACCGAAGGAGTGACCCCTTCCACCTGGGTTTCCTTTAAGGACCAGCAGGTGGAGACTCCATGGAATGATACATCTGGTCCTTTTTTATGTTCAGTTTTTCTAGCTTGAGAAGTTCACGAAGGTTAAAGAAGTTACATATTTAATGCCATCTCTTTAACAGTAAGTGAACTGAGATGGAGAGAACTGGGTCACTCGAGGCCACACACAGGGGGATGGCCGGCTGATACCACAGTCCTTGGACTCCCAGGCAAGGGTTCGGGTTGCTAACGTCTCTTGTATCTCATTATATGCTTCAGTTATTCACACATTTTACTACCAATGCATTATTAATATTCTGTATGTGTCTGAATGGCTTTCACTTCTTTGGAAAGTCTGGCTTATTGCCTGACTGAAGTGGCCCAGTGGTTGAGTGTTGATATATGAACCAGGAGGTCACGGTTGGATTCCTGGTCAGGGCACATGCCCGGGTTGTGGGCTCGATCCCCAGTGGGGGGTGTGCAGGAGGCAGCCGATCAATGAGTCTGTCTCATCATTGATGTTTCTATCTTCCTTTCCCTCTCCCTTCCTCTCTGTGGTCAATAAAAATATTTTTTAAAAGTCTGGCTTATTGAGGTAAATTTTATGTAAAATAAAAATTCATCAATTTTGAGAGTGTGGTTCTCTTGAGTTTTGATAAGTGCATCATCACCACCACAAACAAGACCTGCAATATGTCTACCAGCCCCCAAATTTCTCTCATGCCCTTTGGTCACCAACACCCTCCTCCCTGCCAGGGCCTGGCAACCACTGGCCTGTTTTCTGTCTCTAGTTTTGCCTTTTCCAGAGCGTGATGCTCATGGAACCCTCTGGTATGAAGCCCTCAGGGCTGCCTCTTCGCTTGCCTTACTGATTGATATGAGTCAGCCATGTTGTTCCGTGTACCGGCAGTTTGGCCTTTTTATTGCTGAATAACATTCTATTACGTGACATGTTCATCCTTTAACTGTTGATGGAAACCAGTGGTTTTCAGCCTTTGATGACGAAGAATGAGGTTTTGATAAACACTGTCACCCAGGGACCAATGAGTTTCATTTGGCGCTGTCTGTGATGTGTGAGTTGTAAAAATACTGCTATTCTTACACTTTCCCACAGATTAGCATTTTGTACTTAATTTAAGATCGAGTCTTTCATGCCACGACAGTGCTGTCCACAGATTATACCTATGAGCATCTAAGTTATTAACTTATGTGATGCTGTGACACACCTAGGCAAGGGCCCATTTTAACTAGACTTCTGAAGGACTGAAACCTTTCTACAGCTCCACGTAAGATATTCTTAATCAAACACATGGACAGGAGGTCCTTGACTTTGCTATTTTAAAAAGATTCTCACTCGTTTACTGGCAGGTACTCAATCCAGTAGAAACGTTAGTTAGGTTGCACTGACACCTGCTGGTAAGCCCATAAAACTGTTACAAACGGCAATAGAATCCAATATTTCGGTCATTAAAACTTGTATTTGTGTTTAAAAAAATGAGATTGACGGTACCTGGTCATTCCTGGTTCAGTGTGATTCAAGTGGTCTGGGAGCCTGTGCACCTCTCTCTGGGATCTTCATGAAGGCCAGTGGCAACACAGGCTTGGCTGAGAGGTAAAACGTCTTTTAAATCATCCCCTCTTCCTGTCAGTGTTTACCACGGAACGTCAACACCATCATCGTCTTCTGCTTTATCATCCCATCATCATCGGATGTCTTTTGGTCCTGAAATTGTACAACAGTAGCCACATTTGAGAAAAACTCCGGGGGAAGTTAGGCTTAGGGTGGAGGGCAGCTAGCAAGCTCAACAGAGCTCAACCTTAGGGATTCTTTTTTCTTGTCAAGAGGTAGCAGCACACAGCTCCTTTAAAACCTACCAATCCAACACTCTGATTTAGGGTCACGGAATTTTGCAACTGGAAAGAAATTTAATAATCACATAGTTCACCCATGATTATATATATTGATTTCAGAGAGGAAGGGAGAGGGAGAGAAACATAAATGATGAGAGAGAATCACTGATGAGCTGCCTCCTGCAAGCCCCAACCCCCACAACCCGGGCATGTGTACTGACCAGGAATCGAACCGCGATCTCAACTTAGCTCTTAAGTTGATGCTCGCCCACTGAGCCATGCAGGCCAGGCTCACCCTTCTTTTGTAGATGGGGAAACTGAGGCCCAGATAAATTTACATATTGCCTCGCTGATAAGAGAAACATGTTTCCCAATTTCCCACTGCAGGGTTCTTTCCTATATAAATTGTCTCCACTTGCTTCTTGTTAAGCTTATTCCAAAAATACTCATAAATAGGATTTGAGAATCTCTACTTAGCTTACCTGAACTCAATCACCTGACCTTAACTAGAAATGTTATGCAAATACACACTGTATTAGGTAATATGGTTCTGTAGTGCTTCAGAAATACCTATTTATTCATAGGTCCTCCCCCAAAACTGAAGCTCCATATTGATTTCTTCAGATGGGAAAACAGAAAGAGGCATGAGAGAAAAACGAGAAATAAACCTTTAATTTCTTCTTTAAACAGATCTTGGGTCACAGAATGGCGTGGCCAATTATTACTACAGTTTCTACCCATTATGCCTTTGAAACCTGAAGCCACCAGTGAGGCTGCAGGGCAGTATCTTCATCTTCGCTCAGCAGGTACGGAAACCAAGTGCAGCCAGGACTCCGTACAGGTGCCAATGTACCAAATGCTCTTTGCATTCTGTCCACCCTGAGGGTATTTTTGAAAATATTTGGGTTTATCATTGAGTCTTCACGAAAGGGGAAAAGGAGGAAGAAAAGAAAGGAGGGGGAGAGAGAGAGAGGGAGAAAGAGAGATTGATTTTTGTTCCACTAATCTTTGCATTCACTGGTTGACTCTTGTATGTGTCGACCAGGGATTATACCCACCACCTTTACGTATTGGGACGATGCTGTAACCAACTGAGGTACCCAGCCAGGGCTGTTATGTTTTAATAAGAAAAAGGGCATTTGAAAGGAAGAAAATGAAATGAACATGGCCATGGTTCTCTGCCCATTATTACGTAGAAACAATTTCCAGAATATGTCACCTGGTGGGCCAGAGGCCTTCGATGGTAGGTTGTATAATTAACTGCACTTATTATCAAGGCCACATGCCAACGGATTCATTTATTGACCAGACCACTGTAAGTGGGAAAGGCATTGTGCTGTGTTTACACACACTGTCTCCTTTATTCCTCAAAACCACCCCCCAGGTGGATGCGATTCTCATTTTGGCAGACGAGGACACTGGGGCTCCAAGAGGTTCGGTAAACATGAAGTCTAGGAAGGATTTGGGCCCAGGGGCTCTCCTGGAACACGAACCCCTAAGCTACAGCTTTCCCTTATGCAGCTTCAGGCCTGAGCTTAACAAGAAGTGCAGGGAAAGGCGGTTCCAGCGCAATTCCAGCCACAAGGCAGGGACTTCATCCCACAGGCTGTGCTTCCCTTGGTTTTCCTATTTGCTTATAATGTCTGAAAAATGATGTCATTCACTTAGCGCTGCTTAAGTGTAAGGACACAAAATGGAAAAAACAATCTGGGATATTTATCCGGTGGGGAATGTAGGGAATGCCTCTGCCTTCCCCTGAGCAAAGTACTAGAACACAGGAGACATTTGTAAAAAAACACGAGTCTGCTTAATCAACACAGAACACCTGAACGGTAGAAGCTTATTTTATTTATGTGACAGTGCAATCCCAAGAGGACAGAGCAGATAACTAACATTACATTCTTAGCTTCTGCTTTCTACTGGCTTCATCTGACTGCGTTACACACACACACATGCCAAGGCAAAAGAAAACACATACTGGACTACCTATACAAAGACTTCATTGTTGGAACATAAACCAGGATTATTATAATGTTTTCACAGCTTTGCAATTCTGGGGATATAATGGCTTTATGGGAGGAGGAGGGGGAGGGAGAGGTGGACGGGGAGGAAGAAGAGGGGGAAGACAAGAGGCCTACGTAAGTGCTCCTCGCTGCCAGTGATGAGCAAGGACCAGACACCATGGAACACATACTAGTTCGTACAGCAGAGTGGGCAATGTAACCTGACCTGTGCAGACTCCCCACAGAATTCCTCCACCATGAGAAAGATCCTTTATTTCTTCCTGTATCTATTAATCAAAATTGCATGATGAATAGTGCCTTAGATCTTCTTTTTGGCAGAGAAAAAAAAGTTCTCAATGTAAGAAACTGACTGTGTATAACAAACACGACTCTAGCATCCATGTAATAACCTATACCCCAACAGTAAAGACCTTTTGATACTAGAGTTTTGACTTCTGCCTGTGCCTACTCAACATTCTTTCAGAAGGGATATTTTATAAAAAATAAAAACCAATGTACCATCTCAGGGTCAGGCTCAGTGACAAAAATGCACTACCCGAACCTGGTAAAACATCGACTCCTCGCCGCATGTTAGCTGTTTATAAAAAGCGCAGCTGCACTTTCCCGTGATCCATGCAGGAAACACTCATGGAGATCAAGTAGAACAGAGATGTCCTTCAGCTGTGACATGAAGCCTCAGAGTCCTGCAGACTGATGGGCAGAAAGAAAAGCACGATGGTTGCCCCAAAGCCGAGCCAGGCTGAGTCAGCCCTGGGAAGGCTGGCTGGGGGACCACAGGAAGCTGGACACTGAGTCAGGAAAGTTCCACTGTGTGATACGGTGAGACCTCTCTCTCCTCGTGCCTTTCTCCAGCACCACGGGCGCTTTGCTTAGAAGCATCTCAGACTTTGAATGCAAGCGACTGTCCTTTAATGAAAAAGCTGAAGTGCTTCTGGTCCTGGAAACAGCTCACGATGGGTCCTTAAGGCAAATGCCAGGCGTCAAAGAAACGGTAGGGCCATTTCAGAATGCAATCAAGTCACTGCCCCAGGAGTTACGTCCGTGCGTGAACGCTCCTCACAGGAAGACCTCCCGGCTCTTGGGTTTTGAAGTTCATGTGGCTTTTACATCCAAGAAGTGCTGCGATGTTTTCCTTTGTAGAGACTTCCAGGGTGGATAAAAGTTCATGATGTTGCTTAAAAACAAGCAACCACAGTGTGGAGAAGCTATTCAACTACTAAGCCGTGTGAGGTTTGTTTCTGCTTGGCGTTCACAGCTTGCTTTTGTGGTTGGCATAGGGAAAGCCGAACTGAGCGATCATGAGGTTGGAGTACTTGAGGGGCATGCCGCCGTAGACGCTGACGAGCTTATTGACGCAGTAAGACCTCTGCAGGAAGTGCTCCGCTCGATGCCACATTCCCGAATGGCCCCCACTGGTTTCTTTTTCCAAGTTGCCCATGTTTACAGGTTTTACAAACACCCCCGAAGTCTTCCCAGTGTGCTTGGCAATGAGGAAGTTCATGGCGATGTCGTCACAGTTTTGCGTGTCATCGACCAGGGCGTGGACGGCTGCGGGCTGCCTCTGGAAGAGCTCGAGGTACTTGCTGCTGAAGAAGGAGGCCCCGATCAGCACCATGGAGTACTGGTCACCATCCCCCACGCCCGGGGTCTGCAGCTCAAAGCCTCCGTAGCTGTAGACGCCCGACGCGGTGGAAACATGCTTCCTGGGGACAAATCCTACAATTTGGTCAGGAAATTGCTGAACAGATGGAAAAAGAACAAGTGAGTGGACATTTCTTTAGAGCAGACATAGTGGAAAGGCAATGACTTATTACAAAGAGAAGGAAACGAATCTGCCAGCTTCATTTTATTCCTGTTTCACTAACTCCAGGCAACTTCATATGTCCAGGTCCTGACACGTTCACAGTCAAATTCCTTCACAGCCCAAATCCCTAGCCTTGCAGACGTTGTCCTGACTCACACACGATCTGTATCAATCACTGCTAGTCACCAGAGGCTGGTTCTCCCCAGCGCACCTCGGAGGAGTGGCTCCATGAATGCTGCCTGTTCTAGGAGCCATGACACAGTGTGATTCTTTCAAAAACTGTTAGGATTATGGGTCTACACGTATGAGATTACTGTATTTCCATGTGGATGCCAAGTTCCTGAAAGTTACTGTGTCATGTGTCACTGTTGATTTTTAGACAATGTTATATCTTTATCTCTTTTCAGCCTGGTGTTTCCTTTTAAAAAATATGGATATATATAATGAGATGTGTCAGGATGACTGAAGAAAGGACAGCAGTAACATAATATTATTAAGGTGAAAGTGACTAAAACAAATCAACAAGCAAAGAAAACCAGTAAAGCATGTGAAAGAGGTAAGAATAGACACTAAACCACTATCTCTCTCTCTCTCTCTCTCTCTCACACACACTCACACACACACACACACACACACACGCGCGCGCGCTCTCTCTCAGGCGGGGTTAAATCCCATTTCAAAGTGTGCATGGAGAAGGGGTTCTATGGAAAAAAACCTCACGGTGATCTGATCATAAATCCCTAATTGGGCAGGTCATGGCAGGCAGTCATGCCCTAGGCCTATGACTTCTTTAGTGAAAGGTTTCTCTTTGCCTTAAGCAAGCCCTGTCCCTTAGCAAGCCTTTGAAATGAGCAAAACCACCCGTAGGAGAGTACGTAATCTTAACTATACTATAATCCAGAGATTTTCAACAGGTTGCTATAAGAATGTTTAACACAAGCAGTACCTAACTACTTAGTCAGGAGCACTGACCTTTTCCCCCTTAGATTGTCATATAAAAAAATGACAACTGCCAACACAACAATAGCTGTCTGGTGTGAATGAATACAAATTATACCTATTTTTTGTCTGATCAGCAAAAAATATATTTTTGGGGTGCCGCAGAATTCTAACTAAGAAGGTTACTATCGTGCAAATCAGACCATTTACTGCGGAGCACTTGTTTAAATGTTGGACAGGATTTCAGTGTTCATCTGCAGTGTGGTTTCAGGTAACTGTAGTGCAACCGCTAAAAGTCAGCCACTGTTAATACACGGTCCGCAGGAAAGCGCTGTATTTTTAGAATGGTGGGCCTGTGAGCAATCTGTGCCTGTCATCCCAGCAGGATTTAGGAAAACACCGCGCACATCTGTCACGGCAATGGTGCATGCAGAATTGTCATTGCTGATTTCTACACCATGACCACAGAATCAGGAGTAAATTTTGTGGCTATAGTAAATGCTTTCTTTGAACAAAGGTTAATACAAAAATACACTTCTCATCTGAGACATGGCTGTGGCCCTGCGGAAAACAACTCTGGATGCCAGTCTTTGCTGGACCACACACCAGGTCATTCCCGCACTGCTCTCTGGGAGGAAGTGCTAGCCTTCCACCCCAGAATCCCACAGATAAGTCAAATACAGGTAAAGGCAGCATAACTTGCAGGTTGGCTGAACGGAGCACAGGAAGTCTCGATGACCACATCACAAATGAATCTCTCTTTTGGACAAAAGCTGCCCCAGCTGTGTTGGATGACACCACTTTAAACCACGCTGTTCTAGGTAAACACCAGATAGGACTTCATGCTGAAGAGTTCACAAAGGATTGGGCAACCTTACCTGCCAAACGGAGAAAGCAAACGCAAGGTCTTGGGCGCTAATTAGCATGTCGTCATCGACCATTAACACCGCTGAAATGAAAGGGAGAAATTGAAAACCTAGCCATTTGGAAATGAAAACACAATAAGTAAGATACACCAGTGTCTAGACCAGGGGTGGGCAAACTTTTTGACTCGAGGGCCACAATGGGTTCTTAAACTGGACCAGAGGGCCGGAACAAAAGCATGGATGGAGTGTTTGTGTGATCTAATATAAATTCAAAGTAAACATCATTACATAAAAGGGTACGGTCTTTTTTTTTTTAGTTTTATTCATTTCAAACGGGCTGGATCCGGCCCGCGGGCCATAGTTTGCCCACGGCTGGTCTATAAAGATTGTTCACATGAGGTCCTGTCTAACAAATTAGTAAATATATGTATTCTTCGAGAGATTTGTCTAGCAGAAGTTTTTATTTGAACTGTAACTGATTTTTATAATTGCCTGAAATTATCATGTAGTTATCACCTATTATTGTAGAAACTAATGAAACTATAACTAAGTAACACCGAGGTTCTTTAAAGCAAATGATAACCTCACGTGACTGCTATGTAGAAGGCGGGGGCAAGAAATACATTAAGCTTAGGTGGCATCCACTAGCTCTGAGACGCAGTATGTGCAGGCACAGCGTGTCTCCCTTCACAATCACCACCTCTTGTCCCTGCTGTAACAGGGACGTGCTTTCCTCCCCTCGAAGCTGCTACTTGACGTCCTGGAAATTGTCCCTGAAGTTTTTCAAAGTGCTTTCTTAAACTTCCCTCTTCTTCTCTAGACAATTAAGACCGGAGGAGTCCAGCCATCCGCATATGTCCCAGCTCCCTGTAGCTGCTACGACTCACCCTGTGTCTCCAGTTCAGGGAAGGCCTGGAGCCGATTTCTCATCCTGTTGGTGGTCTGGGGTTTGAAGATCACGGGCACGGGGTGCGGCCCCAGAGAGTTCCATAAGTCCTCCGGTGGCTTCTCCCCGACATTGTTCCACACCACGATGGCCTTGTGCAGCTGCGGCACCGCCTGGTAGTGATTGAGCAGCCGCAGCAGCAGATCCGACCTGTTGTACGTCTGCATGATGAGAGTGAAGGAAGCCAGGGCGGACTGGCCCTGGGCCTTCACCTCCCTCCGCCACGAGAGCATCTTGTCATCTTTGTTGTTGGGGAGGAGAGTGGTGAGGGCCCCAGCCACCAGGAGCAGCAGGAGGACGGCCACCAGAGAGAGGCGGAGCACGCGGGTGCCCAGCGCTCTGCCAGGAAGTTTGCAGATGTGGAAACACCTGGAGGAGCAATGGAAACAAAACATCAGCCTTCTCATGAGTCTCCATGCTTGTTAATGAGGAAAGCCGTTCATCTGGTCTTCGTTGGTTCAAGTTCACTTTCCCCGCCTCCTAGGTAAGGTGGTTTGGGCCGGGGCAAAAATAAGAAGGCCAGTGAATGACCCTCCCTCCGGGATCTTCCTGCTTGGCAGCTGCAGACAAAAGGTCTACACGCCGAACAGGAAGAGTCCACATTTTGCTATTATGGATAATGCTGCCATGAACATTCATATACAAGTTTCTAGGTGAACGTGTTTTCATCTCTCTCGGGTATACACTTACCCCTTAAGAAAGACCTTACAGCATTTTCCACAGCGAAGGCTGCCCTGCAATCTGGCCTTTTTAATCCCCCCTCCGAGAGCCTATATAAAGCATCACATTCCTTCTCAAAACTTCTTTAAGCAGCCATTACCTATGAACTAGGTTTGCTTTATCCTCACTGATTTAAGAGGAAGTAACATACACATTATGTATAAAGTTTTTTCAAAGCCCTGCCTCCTTGAATCTAGCTGTGTGTTACTAGGCAGACAGTGAGGTCCTCTTTCCCCTCAAAGTGCACAGGTCTGAACTGTGCTGGATAAAATTTCCTGCTAGCCTGGCATCTTTCTCCTGGAATTGCCCACTGATTGCAGCTATTGTGTGATAATGATGATGATGGTGTTTGGAAGTGACCAATCCCAGGGACATAGATTAGGGCAGAGGAAGGAGTGGCCTTATTCCTAAGAGGAACATTATGACTTGTAAGGACGCGAGGAGTCAATGCATCCTATGAAGAAAGCCTAGAAATAGAACGGCATTTTTAGCCCAGTACAGTGCCATGCGAAATTAGTTCCAGAAATGAGTTGAAAAGAAGCCCAGTACCTCTGTAAAAACATCACTCTCACCAGGCTGGGGTACGGGAGCTTTTCATGTGAACCTCTCTCTGTTTTAGGCACAAAGAAAAAGAGGGGAGGCAAGCCTGGAATATTCTATGGACCCCTCTCTCAGTATTTACATACGCTATACTGGCTTTCAGCAACCGGCTCACATCTGTAATCACCTCTCTGAGAGAAACAGATTTTCAGACACATATATTAAAAACAGTTTTAGATATCAAAGCTAACATGGAAGCAATCTCAATGCACATGGGCTTTCTAACTTTATTAAAGGAAGGTCAAAATACGTCCGTGGTAGACATCTGTCAATCAACAAACATTTATTGGGGCTTACCACGCGCCCAGCGCTGGCCGGCACTAGGGATGGTAAGGAGCTGGCCCACCCAACATCTGCCCTCACAGCTTACTGATAGCAATGCAGCGGTCAGACCCTTTCCCCCTTTATGTTACATAGTATGTCAAAGCAGAAAGAAGGGAATTAAAATACACCCACCCCATTTCACAGATGGGATAGCTGCTGTAGAGAATATTAAATACTTTTTGCTGAGCCACTGGAAGAGTGGTAGGTCAGAATAAACGTCCAACTCTCACACTCAAGTCTCTTTATATTCTTAGGGTCTTTCTTTTCAGCTCTGATCTAATCCACAAGAATATTTCAATTTTATTGGTACTGACTTTCCTCTATAACCTGAATTACTACTCCAAAAGATAAGATCAAAAAGACACCTTCCAGTATTTTCTAACAGACCATGGCTCAAGCAAAAACTTATTTCCAAGGAAACAAAGTTACCTCTATAGGGAATATTTTTTTCTCTAATAAAAATACAGGTACCTCACCCCTGTTCATAGCAGCATTATTCACAATAGTGAAAGGGTAGAAGCAACGCAAATGTCCATCAAGAGACGGATAAACAAGATGTGGTATATCCATACAATAGAATACTATTCAGCCATAAAAAGGAAGGGAATTCTGATACCTGCTACAAAATGGATGAACCTTGAGAACATTATGCTACATGAAATAAGCCAGGCACAAAAAGACAGATACTCTATGATTCCACTTATATGAGGAACCTCGAGTAGTCAATTTCATAGACACAGAAAGTAGAATGGTGGTTGCGGGGGACTGGGGGAAGTGGGAAATGGGGAGTTAACAGGTGCAGAATTTCTGTTCTGCAAGATGAAAAAGTCCCAGAGATGGGTTGTTCAATAATGTAAACATACTTAACCCTACTGAACTGTACACTTAAAAATGGTTAAGGTGGCAAATATGTGTATTTTATCACAACTTCAACAGAGCCAAAAAAATATTGATACTTACCTCATCATGATAGTTCAAATTTTTTTCTTTATGGCTTCAGTAATTGATAGGAACAGACTCTCTTGACCTATTAAGGGAAAATAAAAAATTGTCTGTGATGTTTTTGTCAATTAGCAGGAACATTTTAAAAATTTCTTTCAATACCATTGTCCACAGGCTTCGAATTATTTCTAGAAATTAAAATTTGCTATTCTGTCCTCTAAAAATCACATTTAGGTAATGAGGTAGATCATGCCATCCTACAGGCTGGTGATAACACTTCCACATTTTTGTTTTCCTCTTCCTCTTCAGTATCCAGAAGCAAAATAAGCAGATCATCCCCACTATCTTGTGTGTTTACACATTTGAAACCAGAACATACTAGTATATGCCACACAGCAAACTCTCTAAACGCAGTAGCAATTACCGCTTGTATTCAATTTCTAGATTCCTAAGGATCTGTAGATTTTTTACCCCCACAGCTCCTTTTCTCACTAAAAGGGTCACAAGGCATTCCATGTGAAACATCTAAAGAACCATGGCCCCTAAAACAGGGTTGCGGATAAATGCCAGGGCTGACGACTGAGGAATGGCAGGTGGCATCCTTCCGATTCCTCAGGGCCTATTGCCCAAAAGGAGCCAGAACCCCGGCTGGAGAGGTTCTACCCTTAATTCTCTCTGCTCTCATTTCTCACCACCCTCCACCACACGTCTGAAAAGCTGGTTTTACTCCCCCAGAGAGTCTGCATAGTTAACCTAATGCAATTAATTAGTAGGAGAGGGGATAAGCAGTCATTAAAATGTTCAAAGTAGATATCCATTTATTCGTTTTAAACTGTTCATTACCATGCCACCTATTTACAGTCTCATACACCCGTGTAATCTTGTAACATGAAGGAATCAAGAATCTGGAGACTTCTAAGATAGTGGCTCTGTCCTGACCACCAGAAAATAGCTGAAGAATCATTTTTTTATTTTCCAAAATCATGTTCTTTCATGATACAAGTTACGGAAAGGGCAAAAGGATGACTTAGTACACATCAAAGACTCACCGAGCGATAGCGGTCCCTCCCCGCGGGCAGCTCTGTGCACCTACACCCCACGGTTCCAAAACCCTGAACACACCTGCCCGTCACTGACCCCCTCCTCAGCTTCTTCCACGAATTCCTCCGGGAAAGAACCTGGACTCACCTGGGCCCGTCACCCACCTCCTTCCCCACCCCCACGGGCTCAGAGCCCAGCATACAGGAGACTCTCACTAAATGACTGCGGAAGGAATGACAGAAACCAACGCTGGCTTGGACAACATGTGTTGGTTAATGGGCACAGACGTATTTTTTCACGATGACAAAAGAAGTGAGACATGGTCAAGCGTTTTCCATTCACACAACAGTTCCTGATTCCAGTGGTCCAGTTTATATCCCCAAGGCCTTGGCGCTGAAGTTGGTGGTTGTGCTGCCCAAGACAGAACGCTCTGAGGGGCATCGCGTCGCCCCTTCGAAAGGAGAAGAACCTTCGGTCCCAGGAGAACCTACGTTAGGTCTTCAGGGTGGAAACGGGTGGAATTTGGGAGCCCCAATATAACTGAAATGGAACTTCAATTTCTCCAACTCATTTTGAGACTATTTGAAAAGATCCCTGCGTGAACCAGTGGAGCAATTTATAGCAATGCTAAAATGCACAATCTCTTCTCTTTTTTTGTTATTGAATTTACTGGGGTGGCATTGGTTAATACAACCATCTAGGTTTCGGAGGTTCACTTCTATGATGCACCATCTGTGTATTGTACAGCGCGTCCACCACCGGAGTCCATCTCCTTCCACCATCGTGTCCCCCCGCCCCCGTCCTCTGCCTCCGGGACCACCCCCTGCACCACGAACTCGGAGGCAGGCGACAGACACACAGGCTTCAGCTGCAGCCGACCCTGAGTGAGGGCTCAGCGGCTGGAACCTGGCTATTCCTGCACCTCCTCGGCCCCTGCAGTCACATCACGTTGGAATTCAGCCGTTTCGCCAAGTCCAGTTGCCGTGGAAATCCTCACCCTCCTCACCTGGTGCACCCACTTCCTGCCCGAGTGAAACTCAAAGTCTAGGACGAATACAAGTAAACGCTCCTAACGGGCATGTCCCTACGCTTCAGGTAAGAGACGGATGAAACACACGCCGGGAAAGGCCACGGCCACGGCCACGGCCACGCACCCTCTCCAGAACGTACATTTCCACGATCTCTTTGCACAGCAGTTTGAACGAACACGAACATTTTTTTAAATTAGAGAATAAGTGAATTATATTTTCAAAACTAAAACCAGCCATTCACCACCCCCACCGCCCGCTCCAGCGAAGCTCCAGGACCGGAGAACCCCATGCACGGCCCCCTGGCAACCCTTCAGCGCCCAGTGCCTCTGCGACGTGCTCACCTGGGGGCGGGGTGGACCGAGCCCCG